TCTCAATGTCCTTCTTTATTGAGGGGCACCAAAAATTAAGAAGGTGTAGGGCAGACATGTCAAATACAAGGCCCGGGGGCAGGATGCAGCCCGCGAAGTGGTTTCAAGTGGACCGTGAAGCCATCCTGGAAACAGTGAGGGAACAGCCCCCACTGCCTTGGCCCTGGCCCAGGCTGGCTGGGAGCCAATGTACAATTTTGTGGTGGCCATCTATGCTGAAACACATTCAGTCTTAGCTCCACAAGGCTGTGGAAACAGAAGGAACCAGCCCCTGCCATGTCAGCCCTGCCCCCCCTGGGTGCATGCTGGGGAGGTGTCACCCTTTGTGAGGAATGAAGAAATGCACCATTGCCTGGAAGTGCCTTGCCTACTTCACATATCTGGCTTGATGGGCTCTGGGGGAAGGGTTTTGGCGGGCAGCAGGGCGCTCTCCTCACAGCGCCGAGAGGTTGAGCTGGGCAGTGCAAAGCTCGCCAGCTTTGTACCTTGCTGCCTGCTGAAACTGGACAGGCTGGGGGCTAGGCAGCATTGCACTTCTCATCAGATTCGTGCCACCTGGCTCAGCTCTTGGTGCCCCGCTGCCTGCTAAAACCGGGCAGGCTGGGGGCTGGGCGGCATTGTGCTTCTTTTTGGATTTGTGCCACCCAATTCTGCCGCTCAGCGCTGTGAGGAGTGCCTTGCTGCCTGCCAAAACCGGGCAGGCTGGGAGCTGGGTAGCATTGCGCAGGTTACATTGACTCTCATGATGCTCATGGCATCCCCTCCCCCAGAGCCCACCAAGCCAGATATGTGAAATAGGTGAGGACCATGTGCTGGCCACTTCCAAGCGATGGTGCATTTCTTCATTCCTCACAAAGGGTGACATCTCCCCAGCTGTGTTTCTTGCCTGTTTTTCTCCCTCCCTCATTTCAAATATTTTTCCCACCACTCTGTACTTAGAAAGGAAGGAAAGAAGGAAAGGAGGAGAGGGTCTGATGGAAGTCCTGCCCTGCTGCCCTTTCACCATCCCCTTGCCCCCTCCTCCTGGCCTATCCTGGGGGTCTCCCATCCTATTGGAAAGGAAGCTTTGGATACAAAGCCGGGTCTCCTCCCATGAGAGGGAATGGGCCTCCCTCTGACATTGCCCTTGTACCCATCATGTGCAACCTGGGTAAGGAGAGCAAGCACAGCAGCAGCAGCCTTGAGGAGGAGGTAAGTGCAGCTGTGTGCCCCCTTGGTGAAGTGGGCTGGGCTTGGTGCCGCGGTGCTCAAAGGCCAGGCTGGGCATTTGACCTCTGCTGCCCAGGGCTCTGGGCAGACTGCACCACCATCCAGTCCCCCCTGCATGGCCTGAGAGGAACAGTGATGCTCCTCCAGTGGACCATGCCTTGGCACTTGCCCTGGTCCCACCCCCTTCTGCCAGAGACCCTCAGATCTGTCCCACTCCTGCCCAGGCCCCCACAGGCACCCTTGATGCGAACGATGTAGAGCTGGCCATGCCCACCCAGTAGGCCACACCCACTCCATTCACGCCCACCCAGTAGGATGCACCCACCCTGGCCACACCCACCCACCGTAAGGACAGCCATAATGCTGAGCAGCCCTCAATGAAATTGAATTTGACACCCCTGGTGTAGGGTTTTGACGAACCCAAAATGTCCAACTATCTTCAAATCATGGCCAGCTTGTATAACTCTTAGTCTTAGTGCTGCTGGAACATACAATTTATTTCCGACCCAGGCTAGGTTGTCTTTTATTAAGCAAAGGTTTTTATGGTTCGAAAACCACTCAACAGTTTCTAGTGCTTTCTTAAATCTATGGGCTGTCGACTTGTCAAGTGGCCAGGGGTTCTGGTTTGCACCTTTGTGGTGACTAGGGCTGCCAACTGTTTTGGGGAAAGCAGTGGTTTTACTATTTCAGACTTTACACTATTGTGTTGTGGCATTCTAGATAGGGCATCTGCCAGAAATTTTTTTCCTCCAGGGAGGTAATGAATCATAAAGCTGAATCAATGAAAGTGTTGAGGGCATGTCGGTTGTGACCCACCTCGGTAGGGTAGCTGCCCCTCCCAACTGGGCACTATGCAGATCTTGCCTTATGTAAGCTAAGCCACGCAAGAAAGCAGAATTCTTAAAACAGGCATTGTCTCAAAAGGAACTTTTATTAGGGTCTAATGATAGCAGGGAAAACAAGGCAAGGTCTGAGAAAAACCCACGAAAGCAGTATATTAAAAGCAGTATTTAATAATTCTTCCCCCAGGGTCTGTGTTCATTTGAATTCCAGCCAATCCACAGATGGTATAGTGTTTTGGTAACAGGCTTCTTTGGCATGTTCTTTCAAGGTCTCTCTTGCTTTCATTTCCTTCTGGCTACAAGCACAACCGTCTCTCAGATAAGGGTGATACATTCTATTCCAGGGATGTCAAACTCAATTTCACTGAGGGCCGCATCAGCATTGAGGTTGCCTTTGGGGGGCCAGGTGGGTGTGGCCAGAGTGTGTGCAGCCTACTGGGTGGATGTGGCCTACTGGGTGGGCGTGGCCAGTTCTACACCATCCATGTCAAGGGTGCCTGTTGGGGCCTGGGCAGGAGTGGGACAGATCTGAGGATCTCTGGCAGAAAGGGGTGGGACCGGGGCAAGTGCCAAGGCATGGTCCACTGGAGCAAGTGCCAAGATGGCCACCACAAAATTGTACATTGGCTCCTGGCTGGCCTGGGCCAGGGCCAAGGCAGTGGGGGCCGTTCCCTCACTGTTTCCAGGATGGCTTCATGGGCCACATGAAATCACTTTGTGGGCTGCATCTGGCCCCGGGCCTTGTATTTGATATGTCTGTTCTATCCCCTGGGGGAAGGGCACAATATCAAGACAGTGTGAAGCATCCCCCTCCCAATGGAATGACAGGCCCCAAAGAAAGGTTACAGATTCATGAATAGGCATAGGGAAACAATATATTTCTTTGGGGACCTGACAAATGACTTGCTATTTATTTACCAAGTACTTCATGAATAATGTTTTGTCAAAGGGAAGATTTGTAAACTGGAATAGAGTGTATTTAACAAACTCTTCATCTTTCTTGTATGAAAAGCAAATTATGGTTTCTTTTCAAACCCTGTGATCGTGAGGTGAAACAAGAATATTACATAGTGTAAGGAACTGCTTCAAAACTTCTTCCCAAGAGAAGATAGATTCATCTCAAAAGGAACTTTTATTAGAAGTTGACAGCAGGCATAGAAGGTAGGATCTGAGGGTTTCCTGCTCAAATCAATAGGTTAAAGGAGCAAAAAGCAAACCCACCCCAGTAGTTCATCCGGTCAGTTCAAACAGACCAATCCCCAGGTATTAAGTCTATTTGGGAACGAGGCTGATAAGACTCCGTTCCCAAGGCTGTGAAAACATTATTGGGTCTTTGCACCTTCTCTTCTGCAGCGAGAGATAAGCCAGATGGCCAAAGGCACATTCCTTTCTCACCCCAGGTTGACATCAAGGGGAAAACAGTTCAAAGAGCAAGCAGATAGAGGAAGCAGAGAGGATACATTGTAGCAGCTAAGCAAAAAGACAAGATACATAGTAATTCCCCAAAGGCCTCCCCCCAGGAGTATGGCAGAACCGGCATAGGGAAAAAGGAAAAGACCCAGATCCATCTAGTAAAATCCCCCCCTACCAAAGAAATAGATTCTGATACATAGAATAAGATTCTGAATGCCAAGTCATTCTGGGCTTTAAATTAATTATTATCCTAGATACATTAGAATGCATCCATCAGTCAATGCAAAAATTCTGTCTTAGGCTGAGTACTCTTCAACATTTTCATAAATTATTTAGATAAGAGGATAGAAGGGGAAGTCATCAAATTTGCAGACAATATCAAGCAGGGAGGGAATAGCCAACACTTTGGAAGACAGACCTATGGGGCAAAAGGATCTTGATGTTGGGTCTAATCTAACAAAATGCAATTCAGTGGGGAGATAAATAAGATCTTACACTTAGGCAAAAAACAACAAATGCACAGGTATAGAATAGGAGTTTGTTAAATACACTCTATTCAACAGCAGTAACTGTGAGAACTGTGCATACAGAAGATCTAAGAGATTCATTGCTCCATTCCCCATTTTAAAAATATGAATAAGAAAGTAAAAGAGTTTTCCTTTTTTCAGCCACAAACTAGTCTTCTGCTCTTAAGTGTTGTTCAGTTTGCAAGATTAGGCTATTCCCATACTCAAAGAAAAAATAAAATAGAATTCATATGGAAGTAAAGAATACCACTTAAAGAGGTGATTCAAGGAGAAAAAGTTGGGAACAGAATTGACTTCCTAATTAACAGGTATGATGCAGAAAGAAGAGACTGTTTAGGAATTGACACTGTTAGTAGTGCCTGAAGCTTCTTAATTACACCTTCTTTTACCATCTTATTAAGATGGTAAAAGCTATTCTCAGTGTATTTTATTGCATTAAGATTGATGGTGGGTTTTCCCCTAGAAATTAATATTCAGTCATTTGCTCAAATTCAGAGTGAAATCAGTGAAGACATAATGGAAGCAGATTGGTGGATTATTTTTTTCTGTACAAGTGGTCCTCATTTAACAATCACTCATTCTGCAACCATTCAAATTTACAACAGTGCTGAACAAGTGGTAATTATGATTGGTCCTATTTACAGCCATTACAGCATCCTTGCAATCATGTGATCATTATTTGTGACCTTCCCTGTTGGGTTCCAACAAGCAATGTCAGTGGGGAGCCGGCATCAAATGCAGTCATGAGATTCTCATTTTATGACCCATGAAGTCTTCACTTAATGATAATGACTGTTGTCGCTATCATTAGGTGGTGTAGTCAAATGGTTTTTCGATACAGTTAATTAACAACAGAGTTTCCAATCCCAATTAGCATTCTTAAACAAGGACTACTTAGTTTGTTCAGCATTTGAAATCAGTTTAAAATGTTTTATTACAGTGCTTAGTATTTCTGAAATATACTATTAACATGATAATTAAGAATGGGGGAGACACATTTTTAACTCTGTTCTAGTTACTGTTTTTATTTGTAATTTTGATTTAATGGCATTAAGTCAACACCATTGGAAATATATATATCAATATATTTTAAATGAGGCTATCAGTTCTATTATTTAGGGTTTTCATTTGTCATGTAAATCAAGACCAATACTCTTCCATGAAATTTAAAAGAATAAAATTTGTTTCAGTAAGTTTTGTGTTTTGTGATTTAAGATAGAGAAAGTAAATGGTTACTTGCCATACAAAAGATGGGCTCCTGATGCAGAATAGTAAACTAGTAAATGGAATAGTAAATTAGACACGGTGGAAACTGCAGCCCTTTGTGGCCATGTACCATTCCAGAGTAGAGTAGATCTTAGTGCATGTAGAAAGGTATTATTTAGGCTGGCAGCACATTCTAAGCACAGTAACTACTGAAGGTAAAACTCCACCCAAAGTTGCAAAATGCTTAGTTAGAAAACATTTTATACATAGAAGACTGCAGGCGTGTATTCATATCCAGTTATAACTCCAAGCCAGAGAGGAAAGGCAGAAAACATTTTAATTACACCCAAAAATAAGGAAAAAGAAGAAATATTAGCTTTAATAATAAATCTCTTAAATTCTGCTTACCCAGAATTAAAAAATCCCAGGAAGAAGAGTAACATTTTTTTTTTTTTTTAAAAAAAGATAAATGGTACAAGCAGATGAAACCTAATCTAAATGGGAGAAAAATACAAAAAAGTTATCTTGACATCTGGCATATTTAAGGTTATTATTTCTGTGAAGACACAGGATAAAAGTTTCATTTATTTTCTGTTTTCTATTTTAAAAAGATATATGCAATAGTGTGCAAATCTGAACAAGAATTCTACTGTTTCGCGTTTAAAGATTACTTCCAGCAATAAAATATACATGATACAATGCAGAATCTTGTAGCTATAGCACCTTTTGCAATGAGAAACAGAATCTTTAAGCAATGTATTTCTAAACTAATTGTGTTATATGGAGAAAAGGAATCTATTTTTCTTACAGGTGTTTCTTGACTTACAACCATTTGTTTAGTGACTATTCGTAGTTATAGCTGCACAGAAAAAAGTGACATGTCCATTTTTCAAACTTACAACTTTTGCAGCATCTCCATGGTCATGAGACAAAATCTGGGCACTTGGCATGTTTTTAAGACAGCTGCATTGTCATGTGATGGTCATTTGTAACCTTCCCAGCTGGCTTCCGACAAGAAAAGTCAGTGTGTGTGGGGGGTTCACTTAACAACCTCAATGATTGCAAAAAAGGCAAAAATGGGGAACTCACTTAATAACTGCCTTGCCTAGCAACAGAAATTTTGGCTCAATTATGGCTGTAAGTCGAGACTATTTGTATGCAAGTTCTATTCCGCAATCATATACAATATTTACATCATACAACAGTGAAAACCATAGAAAGATATTGTTCATAAGACACTTGTATCCAGCCGTCCTGATCAGTATCATAGCGTCTGAAGACATCTGTCCATTTCTGGAAGAAAAAAGTTAATGTCAAATTGTCTGCAGATAAAATGCCTGTGTTCCATTATAGAAAATGCATATAACAATCACGAGACAGATATGATGCACATACTGAAATCTAAATTGGGGAGAGGAATATTTTTTCTACAGTTTTTTTTACAATGAAAGTAGAAGTCAGGATCCCAATAAAGGGTTGGACAAAGTCAATGGTCCACAACATAAAGCTGTACTTGAATTGAAACTTTCACATACTTGTTTTCATGTTGCATACTTGAAACAATTTGATCATCTGGCTTCTTTATATTCCCCAGTCTATGATTACCTGCAGTACAACACAGCACTGAATGAAGTCATCAAAAGCCACTTGCCCTCTTCTTTGCCTGTCAAATTTCTGAATCAAGAGATCGTAGAACTGGTCAGTCAGTCGGTATCCTTAATAGAATTGGAAACATTAATAAGCAAAATTTAAAATAATTGCAGCCACTTACATAAATGATATTAATGTAAGCAAATAAAAAAAAACCAGGAAGTTTTGGGTATGACAGAACAAAGGAACCAATGTGATTTAATCAGATCCTTTAGAGCTAGCTGACACCTTTTTATTTTATGAAAAATCAGGCTATCCCATAAAGCATACTGTGATGTGTCACGAATAAGAACTATGGTGGCCCAGTGGTTAGAATGCAGTACTGCAGACTAAATCACTGCTCACTTCAGGAGTTCGATTCCAAGTGGCTCAAGGTTGACTCAGACTTCCAATCCTTTCGAGGTTGGTAAAATTAAGACCGATTGTTGGGGGCAATATGCTGACTCTGTAAACTGCTTAGAGAGGGCTGTAAAGCACTATGAAGTGGTATATAAGTCTAAGTGTTATTGCTAAGTGCTATTGCTATTGTAACAAAAGTTATGGCTGAAAAAAACAATAATGTTTACTGGATTGGTAAAATTAAATAAAATTAAAATCTGAATAGAATAGAATAGAATAGAAGCTGGAAGGGATCTTGGGAGATCTTCTAGTCCAGCCCCTTGCTCAGTTAGAAGAACCTATATCATGTCAGACAAGTGATTGTCTAGCCTCTTAAAAATCTCCAGTGATGGAGCGCCCACAATTTCCTGAGGCAAGCTGTTCCACTGGTTAATTGTCCTCACTGTCAGGAAGTTTCTCCTTAATTCCAGGTTGTTTCTCTCTTTGATCCGTTTCCAATCACTGTGGTTGGAAACCATCTTGGTATACAATGTATATTTAAATAGTGCTGTGTTGTTTGAATACCTCTTCAATCAGGTTTTTAAATAATTACTTATAAGAATGTACAAGAATGAAAATAATGTTTTATTTAAATAGAAAGAAAGAATAACCCTGAGCATCAAATATCATGTTCCTCCAAAAATTTATTTATTTGCCTCCAAAGAGGCACCAGGTCTTATTTTTGGGGGGTGTCTTTTCCATGGTCTCACCTCACAGCAGCAGCACCGACAGCTCCAACCAGCTGGCCCACGTCTTCTGCAGCCGAAGGAAATGCCTCTGCAGCTGTGATTGGACCTTTGGATTGATACTCGCAGTCCCCCTGGCCTGCATTTTGCTGTCAGAGACTTTCTGCAAAGGCCTCTGCAGCCAAGAACCAAGTTACGGATTGAATCTGTGGCTTGGTTCTCGGCTGCAGAGGCCTGTCTGGAAGGCCTCTGATAGCGAAATGCAGGCCGGGAGGAATCTGGAACTCCATTTTCAGCTGCAGAGGCATTTCCCGAAGGCCTCTGATAGTGAAATGCAAGTCGGGGGGCACCGCAGAAGAAGTGGGCTGTCAGGTGAGGCAACTGTTGATTCATGGGAGGCATGGCTATAATGGTAAGCAGGTATGGGGCACATGGGGCAGTTCCATCCCAATACTCCTGCCCAAACTTGATTTTTAGGCATGTGCCTCTCCCCAAAACTAGGGTTTATTTTTGGGGTAGGGCTTATATTAGGCCCACCCCTAAAATTAAGCTAAGGCTTATTTTTGGGATAGGTCTTACTTTTGGGGAAACACGATAGTATGTACTCAGGAAGCCATTCTACTGTATCAAGAAATGCATTTCACAGAATCTGTATTATTAAGTTAGAAATCTAAACGGAGTAAGGTTTCCACCTAGGGAGACATGCATTCAACAACCTCATTACACATGATGTATAATGATTTCTGTAAGCTTATATAATATACTTTACTAAAAATTATACTCAAATTTATCCCCTTTCTCCCTCAGAGGAATGTAAGCTCTTCAGAGTGAATAACTTTACTGTCAAGCCAGTTTCATTCATATGAGAACCAAACATCAAGCCGAGATGCCACACCAGAAAACCTGGCTGTAAAGTATGAGAGGCTGTTCTTCAGAAAAGATTTCATGTACCCAATCATACTGTTAAAACAATGCTGTTTTAAATCTAGATATTTGGACCAAAAATATATGTTTAAAAATGGATATGCTTTTTCCTCTTCCCTACTTTTTATTATATAATCATGTTTTTGAAATTGTAAAGATACCTTTATAAGCTGTTTCAGATTTCTCTTTTTCTCTTCCTCCCTCTCTGTGTCTATGCATCTATGTGTATTTGTAAAATCTTCAAATATTTTGTAAAATTAGTGAACAAGCGTCCATATCCTTAACATTTTCTATCAAGTATCATTTACATTATAGTAATACTTTTAAAATGGATTTTGAATCCAATTCTAAATCCAAAATGAATAGTATAGCAGGCTTTGAATAACAATGTTCAAAATATGATTAATTTTAAAACATCCCCCACCTCAAATCTTCAATAAACTGACTTGTAATCAGTTATTTTAATACATAATATCTTATAAATTACACCACAGAGAAAACTAAAGAAATGTATCATCTGCTCAATCCTTTGGTACTTGGATGACATTCAAGTTATCAAGCTGTACTTGACATTTGCCTATTTATTTCCTTTGGGGATACACTATATAATTCTCTTTGCAGTACTCAGAGAGATGCACTGTTTCCCCCATAACTCTCCCTTAATTACAGTACTGACTAAATATTAAATCCTCTTCATTCATTCCTAAGCAGCAAAAGTTAAGGGCTACCAGAAATAACTGCATAACTATTTTAACCAGGGGTCCGTTGACCAATAATGGACTGCGGCATGTCAGCAACTGGGCAGCACAAACAAGCAAAGCCCCATCTGCGAGATGCAGGCAGCACACAAAACCATGCACCCTTCAGTCCATGGAAAAACCTCTCTCCACAGAACCAGTTCCTGGTGCCCAAAAGGTTGGGGATCTCTGGAATAAACTATATCCCTTCCCCAGATTTTTAATAATCTTACATTTTAATCCCTTCAAATAATGTTCTTCAGTTTCATTTGTAATTAGGGACAGGTGGTCCCCCAAAAATTTCAGTTCCATGCCATGGAAGGCTTTAATAGACAAAATAAGCACCTTAAATTGTACCAGGAAACATTGGTACAACAAATGCAGCTTGCAGAGCAGAAGTGTAACATGTATTCTTCTAGAAACACTTAAAACTGCCCACACGGCTACATTTTGCCCCAACTGAAGTTTCTGGATAGTCTTCAAGGGCAGCATCATATGGACCTCATATTGCAACTATGATTCCACAAGATTTTGTGAAATAAGTTCTAAATAATGTGATTGCTGCACTATTAAATATATTGCTTAAAACATTAATTAATTTAAAGGCCTAATGGCAAGCTATTTCAACCTGGATATCATCCAGGTGTGTGGAGGATGTCTCCAGGTGTATCCTCCTAGAATTCTTCTGTCTCATTGACAATTTCTGAAAATTCTGAAAGTTGAAGTCTATACATCTAGAAAGGCTACATAAAGCTATTTTCCAAAATTACATATTTTAATTACTATGAATTACCAAAACCTGTTAGGGCTTGCTTTAATTCATGTTTGTCAATCATTCCAGAGTTGTCTCTATCATATCTGCGAAAAATGTTCTGCCAATCAGAGATATATTTCCAGACTCCTGTGAATTCATTGAAGTTTACACCACCTTTGTTTTCTCTGTCAAACATAGCTGAAAAAATAATTAATCTTAATTAATTTAAATAGTAGATTAAATTAAATATTAAGCTAATTTATTAAGTTTAAGTTAATTATGAGAAAGTAAAATTATTTCAAAGAAAAAGTTAATTGTACTGAAATTATTTCCCACTTTTATATCAAAACAAACCCCCCGAAAGCAGCTGTTATGCAGGGCAAAATATAGATTCCTCAGAATTCGAGAAAAAAAGTTTGGTTTCAACCATTTTAAAGAGCAATTCAATTAGTTCTTCAATTGTAAGGACCTCCATCAGTTACCATAGTTTAAGAATAGATAAGTATAGGAGAAATACACAGCAAATTATGAAGCTTTTTGTATACCATATCTGTTCCTAAAATTGTAAGCATTGTATATATCTTTTATAAAATACTGTAATTTAGCAGAATCTGCAGGGTATATGGTCCAAATTTGCAAGGATACACGTCCTGCCTCATTTTACATATGACATTGGCAACACAGGTTGAAAAAAAAAATCCAACTGTAAGTCTATGATTACCTGCATTTATTTAAATTAATAAAGCTGAAAAGGCTAGTATTTTGGTTCCCGCTTCAGACAAGTGCAACTTAAGTATAAAACAAATGGAGTTCAAATATTACTTACATAAAATAGATCTTACAGTTGCCGGATTAAATGGAGTCCATGTTCCTAAAAGAAAGAGAAAATACTGCATAGTAAACATAGAAACAAGAACATTTCAAAGTAATAAATGAGTAGTAATTAAACAATTAAAGCTTATTAAAATAGTAGTATTAATAAATCTTACCTCTCTATTATGTTCATAAATTAGGCAATCATTTACTTTTATATAAATTATCTTTGCTTACTAAAAAAATTGACTGTTTTACCCGCTGTTCAATATTTTATTACAGTTTTATCATGAATAAAGTAAATATGAAATTAAATATGTAAATATAGAATATTTTTTCCTCATATAATAATGATATATATATATATATTAAATATATAAATATATATTTTCCTCCTACGTATTGATTGTGTATAAGTTGGGTAGCTATATATGCGTGCGTGCGTGTATGTGTGTGTGTGTGTGTATGTAGGTCTTTGGTTATCCGGGATTGCTTCTAGAAGCACGAAGCCGAAAACACCAGCCTGAAGATGACGAATGAGACTTCGTCGAAACGTCACCAAGACACTTCCAATTTAACGCGGGAGAAAACCCAAATAACCAAAGACCTACATACAAACACCCGCGAAAACCTATATATATAGTCTATATCTCTACCTACCTACCTACCTACCTACCTACCTACCTACTTAAAACAAATAAATAAACATGAACACCAGGGAGTTACTATAAAAAGTTAATAAAAACGCCTAGCTTTCGTCGGCAGCTGCCGATATCATCAGGGCTTAAAATACTAGTCAGTAGGAGAGTCCCTTTATAGGCTGACCAAAGTCTGCACCCAGATCTTAGATCTTGTCACTGGACCTGATGGAATAAGCTGTGTTCTGGTTGCTGGTTTTATACTAGCAGTTGTTCTTTTCCTGCATCTCCTGTACGGATGACATATGTTTTCCCTTTGCTGAGTTTGGGGTCAGGCATGGCACCTCTCCCTCTTTTTTGTTTAGCCACATCCCCTACATTGTTCAATTGCGTATTCCTATCATCTCCTCCCTTGCTCTGTCCAGATTGTTCAGGTCTGGTACACTCTCCCCTTTTTTCTTTTCATTTACAACTCACACTCCCACAATCATGGTCCCCGTGAGTGCTATCCTGTATGGTTTTTACCATTCCCCCCTATCCTTGGTGTTCTTTACTCGTGCATTGCTATCTTGAGAGTTATTTCGTGTTATTCGTTGGCACGATCGGACTGGTGTTGCAAGGTGGAGTGGGCGAGCCATCCCTGCCAAATATATCAGCGAGGCTGTCTTCCCTTCTCTCAAATGTGATCGGGTGATTATCGTTCCAATCCATCCCCTCTCATTGTCTCTGATCTTCATATGCTCCTGTACTCCAGCTTCAATTGGGTCACCTCGAATGTTCTCTGTGCGGCAACTAGAAGCCTCAATCCTTGTTACTTCTCCTAAATTGCTGGCACTCCCCACTTGTGCGTCGTCACGGGAACCATTCTGCATTTCCTGCTGACGTGGCCGAGCCGGTACTACCAATTGGGGCGATCGAATTGCCGCCATCGGGTGAGTCAGTGATGTCATCCTCTCCTCTCTCGAGTATAACCGGGAGCTAGAAACTCCGGTTAAGGGTGTCCGTTGGTCCAGTCCAGGTGTTGGCCCCCCATTGGGGGATGTCAAATCTTCTGGATATCTCGGGGAGTGTGCAGGGATTCCTGACATACGGGTTGCTACCCCTGTATCTCTCAATGCTCCCCAGATCTTCCGAGAACGCATACCTACTCTGGGGGCACGAAGATCTTTCGAACGTTATTCACACTTCGCCCAGATGCCCACAAGTTGTTGAGGAGGGGATGCCTCCTTTGTGGTCCTCTCTACTAATGCATTCGATGTTTTGCCAGACTGTCTCCAATGGGGTGGGTGATTATCCATACTCCAGGCTCTTAACGTTAGATGTATATATGATATGTATATAAAATATTTTCTACAGAAAAAAAGAGTGTTTTTCCGGTAGAAAACCACTATCTGTACAAATAAGCAAACAACTCTCTTCATTGTCTATTCTCAGATAGAAAAAAAGCAATAGGTAAATATATATATAGGCCTTCTCAAGATTACAAACACCATTTGCTAAAAAGAATGTTTGAGTGACTTATCCATGTGTAAAGATAATAGATTTCACTACACCTAAAGTGTATGTTTCCCTTTATTTAATGCAATAATAATGTCAAAACCCATTTCTATTTCATTTCTATCTATCCCCTCTATCTAAAAACAAATCTCACCTTTCCCTGGGTTCTGCCATACTCCCAAGGGGAAGGGGGGATGTGCCTGCGGGATTATTGCTTTCGCTTCCTCTATTCGCTACAATGTAACCTTTTGCTTTGTTTACTGCTTGTGTCTGCTGGCCGCTACAATGTAACAAATTGCTTCCTGCACTGTATCTCTCTCTGAACTTTCTTCTCCCCAACCTGTCAGCTAGGAAAAGGGGGGGGAGAAAGAAATGCAACCTGCGGAGCCTGGCTTATCTCTCCGTTTCTCAAAAGAAGGTGTGAAGAACCAATTGAACATTGCACTGCAACCAGAGCCGGATCGATGTTATCTCCCCTTTTTCCACAATGGACTTAACACCTGGGGATTGGCCGGTTTTGAACTGTGCGGATGAACTGTGGGGCAGGGTGCATTTGGTACACTTTAAAGTATCAATCTGTAAGGAATCCCTCAGATCCTGTCTATTATGCCTGCTATCAATTATTCTTAATAAAAGTTCCCGTTGGAAGAAATTATTTCCAAGAGTTCTGCTTTCTTAAGATGTGGGGTTGAAGTGGGTCCTTACAGATAGCCATCTTCTACTTCGTTATAATTTGTTGCTCAGTTGTTAAGCCATATGCAAGTTCTCGTGACCCCATGGACCACAAAGTGCCAGGCCACCCCATCCTCCATTGTCTTCTAGATCTCACCCGAACCCATGCCCACTGCATTAATGACACTATCTAACCATATCATCCTCTGCCATTCTCTTGTTTTGCCTTCAATACTTCTTTATAGGCGTCCACATACATTCCATAGCCTATAAACAAAGAAATAATTTTCTATGTCTTTCTCTCCATATGCTTGTAGGAATCTATTCTGACCCTTTACATAGTAAGCAGTTTTTTTTAGCTGAAGTTACAATTCTTTCTGGTTGTCTTTATTGAGTTTCAGATTAAAATGGTCAACATAACTCAGCTAAAGCTCTGATAGCATCCAATGCTTTATTTACTATTCATGTTAGTGAACATACCACTGTGAGGAACTAAGTGAACTGTATAAAATTGACAATGTAGGGCATGCTTGGGCGAGTTTAAATTCCCATTAAACTATGAAGTTTAAGTGCTATAGATGATTTAAGTTGACCAACAAGAGGAATTTGGCACTGTAAGGTCCTGCCTCAACTACTCCTCCTAAGAAAGCAGAACTCTTGAAACAGGCATTGTTTCAAAAGGAAGTTTTATTGCAGTGATCCTCAACCTTTCTAATGCCGTGACCCCATAATACAGTTCCCATGTTGTGGTGACCCCCAAGTGGGTGTGGCCACCAATAAGAGGGAGTAGGACAGCTAGGGAAAAGGGAAAAAAATGGCGGACAGCATGGTTTGGTGACCCCCGTGAAATGGTCATTCGACCCCAAATGGGGTCCCGACCCACAGGTTGAGAACCACTGTTTTATTGAGAGATAGTGATAGCAAGATAGCAAAGCAAAATCTAAAGTTTTCCCACAATTATTTGGTGAAAGGAAGAGCCATGAACAAAATAAAATATATCAGCTTGTGCTTGTATTCACTGAAAAAAAATCTACACATGTGGTCATTAAGGATTGGCAACAACTATATTGTATATAATTAATTACTTGTATAAAGCATAAAGCACATCTAAAGAAATCAGATTATCAGTATAGTTGGCCAAAATATATTTTAAAAAAGGAAAGGATTATTATTATCATCATTTAATATGATTTCAAGATACATTTATTTATTTAACAAAGTTCGGGGAACAAACAGAGTCAACCTGAAAATATTAGTACACAAGTATGATACAGTTGCCATTACAGAAACTTTAAGGGATGCAAGTCATGAGTGGAATGTACTGATAGAAGGATACAAACTATTTAAAAGAAACAGATCTAACAAAAGAGGAGGTAGAGTTGCATTATATCATATGTTGGAGATCACTTCTTCTCTACCCAGATGCACTCAACAAGCCTTGAAAGCCTTCTAGAATGCATTGGGTCAACATATGAGGAAAAAACAATGACATTGCCATAGGTATATACTAGAAGCCACCCAACCAAGCAGAATAAATATATTAACTTTTACTTTAACTTTAACTACTCTGACATGAACTGGGAAACTCTGCAATAAATGGGAGATCAAATAGATTCCTCATCAACCTAACTGACAACTTCATCACCGAAAAGGTAGAGGTGGCAACTAGAGGGACAGCTTATTCTTACCAACAAAGAAATGATAGAAGAGATTGAAGTTGCAATAACTTTAGGGAACAGTGTCCATGTCATATTAGAATTCAATATAAAACAAACACAAACAACAGAACATAATTAAACAAGTGTTTTATACTTTAAAAAAGCTCTTAGGAAGGACCCCAAGGATGAAAATCTTAAAGGGCAAATCAACTCAAGATGCTTGGGGAACTCTGAAAAATACTATTATAAAAGCCCAGCCCAGTTCAATACCACTAAAAAACAAAAATAAAAACAAGAAAAAAACCAGCATGATTGCACAAAGAACTCTCAGACCAACTGAAACAAAAAAGGGACAAGTACAAAAAAAATGGAGAGACACATAACTAAGGCAGAATATCAACTAATAGCTTGAACCTGCAAAGATGAAGTTAGGCAAGCTAAGGCTTTGAACAAAGTAAGACTTGTCAAAATGTCTAAAACAATAAAAAAAGTTTCTTTCAGTACATAAAAAACAAGAAAAAAATCAAAGAAACAATTGGTCCCCTAATTGGAGAAGATGACAAAGAAGTAATGGGCAGTAAAAAGAAAGCAGAACTGCTTATTAATTCTTTGCATCTGTCTTCATGCAAAAAGAAAACAGTACTTAACAAAAACAGAACCATAAATGAAAGTTTAGGAATGCAAATTAAAATATGTAAAAATCAGGTAACAGCATACCTGTCAGTAATAGAGGGACTGAAACCACCAGGTACTGACAGACTACATCCCAAAGCTCTGAAGAAACTGGCAGACGTGATTTCAGAATCACTGAAACATATCTTTCAAAGTTCTTAGATCACCTGGGAACTACCTGAAGACTGGAAAAGAATTGATGTGGTCTCCATGTTTAAAAAAGGGGAAAAAAACAGATTCAGGAAATTACAGACTAATCAGCATGACATCAATAACTGGGAAGATCTTGAAAAAGATAATCAAGCAGCAAATCTGTGAACACTGAGAAGCAAACAAGGTTATAATCTGTGATCAACATGGGTTCATAAAAAACGGATCCTGGCACCTCATGCAACTCAGCGCATGGAGCCTGTTACATACATCCTCCCTATTTTGTGGTTCTCGCGCACATTTGCACATTTGTAGACTCTTCCTGACCCCTTTGGCATCTCTTGTGCACCCACTTGCACTCTCTTTGATCTGTATGGCACATCTTCGTGCATTGCTTCAACAATCCACATAGGGCCGCTATGTGTGGGAACCGGGTGGACAGGTATACATGGTCCCTAATGTGGAATGAGTTCGGTTCTACATTTCTTTTGTCAGCCTGGACTTTGTAAGCTGCCTGGGCATCTGCTAAAGCATTACCCACTGCTGGCCACATGTTTTTCAATTGATTAATCCACTCCTTTAAAGAGGAAATATGGATTCCTGGGCTGGTAATTCAGGCATCAGTTAAAAATCTTGCCCAGTTGCCACTTGAAACAGCATGAAGCCTGTGCTGCTGTGCACAGCATTATTATAAGCTACTTCCAGCAACTGGCAAGAGATCCGTCCAATCATCTTGTTGGTAGTTAATAAAACAATGCAGGTATTGTTCCAGTACTGTGTTCGATTGTTTAGTCCTGCTATTTGTCTGAGGACGGTGACTAGAATTTAGTCTTTGGTTGGTTCCTAAGAGGTCCAGAAAAGCTCTCCAGAACTTTGATGTGGATCCCTCTGTCTGAAATAATGCATTGTGGGGCCCTTTGTAGGTGGTAAATGTAATGTAGGAACATCTTTGCCAATGCTTTAGCTGTGGGAATTTTCTGGCAAGGGATGAAGTAGACTTGCTTAGAGAATAAGTTGGTGATGACTCAATTACAGTGTTTCCCAAGTTTTGGGGGAGCTCCGCAATAAAATCCATGGTTCAGCTATTGTTTGGAGTAGCCCAGGCAATTTTCCTTGCCTCCATTTGGCTGAAGCACAGATGGGGTAGCTGGAAACATAATTTTCAATGTCTTTCTTGAGTGAGGGTCACCAGAATTGTCTTTTGAGAAGGTGTACCCAAAATGTCCTACTACTTTTGAGTTGTGGCACATTTATATAGTCCTTAGTCTTTGCTTAGCTGGCACGTACAGCTTTCTGCTTACTCACACAGTCCATGCTGTGTGGAGCAGAGCTTTTTGTGGCTGTAGAACATCTGTTTCCAAAGCTTTTTAAAATTCAGCTGCGATAGCATTGTCCATGGGTTTTCTCCCTTTCTCCTGTGCTCTGTAGTTACCTGGGCTGCTAGTTGATTTACAGGAAGAAGGGGTTTTACTATTTCCGCCTTGGAGCTGTTGTACTGCAGCATCCTTGACAGAGGACATTCCCCCCCCCCCGGCAAGTAATACAGGGTGAAACTGAACTGGTGGAAATATTGAGCCCACTGTGCTTGCTTTGGAGATTATTTCAGGGGAGTTTCAGAGCTTCCAGGTTTTTGTGATTAGTCCAGACTTGGAATGGGATTTTGCTACCTTCTAAGAAGTGCCTCCATGTGAGGAGAGCCCATCTAACTGCAAAACCCTACTTTTCCCACACTGCTCACTGTTGCTCTGTTTTGGTTAACTTCTATGATATACTCGCACACAGTTGCAGGTTTCCCTTCTCATTCTCTTATAACAACACTAGATTGCTGGCATCTGCTCGGATGACAAAAGGTTTTCCTGGGTCTGTGTGTTTCAGCACTGGCTCAGCAGAAAGCAGTCTTTTCAGTTTTTTGAATGATGCCTGGCATTCCATAGTCCATTTCAAAGATTGGCTGGGTTTTGGTTTGTCCCCCTCCCTTCATTTTTAGCAAGTTGGTAATGGGGAGGGCTATGTGAACAAACAAAGAGATGAACTGCTGGTAAAAGTTGGCAAATCCCAGGAAGCTTTTCAGCTGTTTCCTGGTTTGGGGAGGTGCTCATTCCAGTACCGCCCACACTTCTCCAAGTCCACTTCGAACCCTTCATAGGAGATTTGATATCCCAGGTAGTCAATTTTTTCTTTGTGAAACTCACATTTGGATAATTTGGCATACAGCTTGGCTGTGCATTTTTTAAGCATCTCCCTGAACAATTTTACATATTCCACTTTTGTTTCGGTGTAGATAAGGATATCATCAAGATACACTGGGACCCTTTTGAATAAGTGTTCACAGAGCACCTTGTTTATCAGCTGTATAAACACAGCGGGGCTCCTTGCAGGCCAAAGGGAGTACTTTGAACTGAAAACAGCTTAATGGACAATTGAAAGCTATTTTCCATTCATCATCTTCTTTGATTCTTTTTTTATAAAGGTTTTTATTGAGTTTTAAAAGGTTGGGGAAGAAATAGGACCAGGATAGGGATTAAGCTTCAGGATATTGTCCAGGTACATATGTTCAGTTAATACTAATTAATATAATAGTAAATAGCTGTGGTGAATATGATAAACAACAATCATAAACAGTATCAGTTGGTCAATACATATCATTCTTCTAACTAATATATATCCAAAGTAACATATCACATTCATTTCTCACTAGTTCATTTTCCTAACCATTGGTAAAATTTATCCCATGTTTTAAAATAAACGGAATCTTCTTTCTCTTTAATGTCTAAGGTTAGTCTATCCATTTTTGCACATTTTAAAATTTTCTTAATTAAGATCTCTTCAGTTGGTAAGTTTTCATTTTTCCAGTATTGGGCAAATACTATTCTCACTCCTGTCAATACATGCAATATTAAATACTCATTCTCCTTCTCGTACTTAGCTCCTAATATTCCTAACAAAAAACAGTTCTGGTTTAAATTCTATCTGTATTTTAGTCATCTTTTTCAGCCATGTATGTATCTTAAGCCAGAACTTTTTTGCTTTAGGGCATGCCCACCAGATATGGTAATGTACTTGGCTTTTGTTTACATTTCCAGCAATTATTTGAAGTATTTTTAAACATTTTAGCTAATCTTACTGGTGTCATATGCAATCTATAAAACATTTTATACAAATTTTCTTTATATGAAACTGCTTTAGTCAGTTTGATGATTCTATCCCATAATTTTTGCCAGTCTCCCAAATCTATAGAATATCCAAAGTTTTTTGCCCATGCTATCATTGTTTCTTTTACTTGTTCTTCCATCTTCAAGTTTAGTAGAGATCTGTAAAGTTTCTTGATCAGATTTTCATCTGTTTTTAATAATATTTGATCAAATTCTGTCTTTTCTTTATAAAATCCCGTTGTCTTTGCATCTTTTTCATATCTTATTTGAATTTGCAAATATGGCCACCATGCTAAGTCAATATCTTGTCATTGTAAATCTTGTAAATCTTATCTGTCTTTCAATTTTCCTTCCTTATCCAGAGTATCTTTATAGGTGACGACTTTGTCATAGTTAATTAAATTTTGGTAAGCAAAAGCTTCCATTGTTGAAAGCCACTCATGTAGTTTAATATAAATTTTCTGCTTTATTCTTCCCCATTCTGAAAGGAGTGCATTCCTTATAAAGTGGTTTTGGAAGTATCTATGTATTATATTTTTCTCGTACCATAGGAAGCATGCCAACCAATTTGTAGGTCATGCTCCTCTAGGTACAATAGTCTTTTATTTCTCAGCATTATTGATTCTTTAACCCATGGTAAGATGGCAGCTTGATAATCCAAATCCTCCATTTTTAGCTTCTTGTATCATTTTCACTTTAATTCGTGCTTTTTTCCCTTGCCAAATAAATCTTAATATTGTTGCATTTAGATCATAAAAAAAAAGACCTTTCCCAAGTTTACAGAGATCGTTTGGAATAAGAAGAGTATTTTCGGTAAAATATTCATTTTCACTGTGGCTATTCTTCCTAGCAGTGACAGTTGAAGATTTTTCCACTTTTCCCAGTCCAATTTTATTTGTTTCAACAATCTTTCACAGTTATCTTCTTTTAATGTTATACATCTTGCTGTTAAGTAGATTCCTAGATACTTTTTTAACTATTTGTAAATTTGTCTTTTTTGTAAGTTGAGTTTTTTGTTTATCTATTACGTTTTTTTAATTAATACTTTAGTCTTTTCTCTATTTATTTCAAACCTGCCACTTCTCCAAACTTTTCTATTTTCTCCAACAGTTTAGTAGCTGTTTCAAGTGGCTCCTCCAAGATAAAAACCAAATCATCCACAAAGGATCTATATGCTAGCCATCTCCCGGCTTATTGGAATTTTCAAAAAAATTCTGTTTAGACTGTTTAATCTGTTGTGCCATTATATCCATCTCAGCCAGGTTTAATTTATGTTTTATTATCTCTATTGTTTCTTGAGGATTTTCTTTTGTGGGTCTACTTGTAACTCTAGTTCCAATTTTTTAAGTTCTTCTCTCAGCTTTAACTGTAATCGTTTCTTTTCTTTATTCTTTTTTGAGGTGTAAGTTATGGCCAACCCTCTAAAATATGCTTTAGCCGTGTCCCATACATTTTGGAGGGATGTTTCTTCTTTCTTCTTTATTTTTTTAAAAAATTCCATTTCCTTTGTTGCTAGTTGTAAGAATTCTTTTTCGTTCAATATAGATTTATTCAGAGACCATCTTAATTTTTTCTCGGTTCCTTTCTGTGTCATTTTTATTGGGTTGTGGTCTGTCCAAACATTAGTTACTATCTTGACCTCTTGTATTATCATTTTCAAGTCGAAAGATGTCCATATCATATCAATTCTAGACCATGATTTATGTCTATTTGAATAGAATGTATATTGTGTTTTTTTCTGGGTTTCTCTCTCTCCATATGTCTTGAATACACAATTCTTCTTTCATTTTTGAAAACGCTTTAGGTAGTATATTTTCTCCTGTTCTTCCTTCTTATGGCTTTTGTAGTCCAGAATCACATCTACTATTGCATTGAAGTCTCCCATTATAGAAAGATTTTGGTAATTTAAGTCCAATATTTTCTTGTGTAGTTGTTGATAGAATTGTTCTTGCTTATCATTAGGTGCACATATTGCTACCATCAATATCTGTTTTTTTAATAAACATTTTATTAAGTTTTATAAGGGTAGGGAACGGATAGGATTGGTATGGGTAATGGGTAGGGTTGGGGAATAGGATTGGAATAAGGATAAGGGTAGATACAATAGTGGGATTGCTCCCCACAGAGAAATCAACACTTTAGCAAGCAGGCTATTGTCCAGGTACAAATATTGAATAACAGTAGTTAATATAATACTAAACAATTATAATCACTGATAATAACAATAATCATAGAAGTAAACCTTAAACAGTAAATATTACTCATCCTGTTAAATTTCACAATCTTTTCCACTCTAACGTAATGCTAACCATTGATAAAAAATTTTCCCATGTTTTAAAATACACTGAATCTTCTTTCCCTTTAATCTCTAAAGTTAGTCTACCCATTTCTGCACATTCTGAGACAGGGGTGTCAAACTCAATTTCACTGAGGGTCGCATCAGCATCGTGGTTGCCATTAGGGGGCCAGGTGGGTGTGGCTGGCATGGATGTTGCCTACTGGGTGGGCGTGGCCAGCTCAATGTCACTCATGTCAGGGGCACTTGTGCAGGCTTGGGTAGGAATGAGGCGCATCTAAGGATGGGGAAGAATGGGTGGGACAGGGGGTGAGCGCCAGGGCATGGTCCACTGGAGGAGCCTCACTGAGGCTGTGCACAGGGCCCCTGAACAGTGGCATGGACTGCCCAGAGCCCGGGCAGCAGAGGTCAAGTGCCCAGCTTGGCTCTTGAGCTCCTATGGCATTAGAACCCCTAGCTGCACTTCCCCAAGGGGGCGCCCAGCTTCACTTACCTCCTCCTCAATGCTGCTGCTGCTATGCTCACTCTCCTTGGCCAGGTTGCTCATGGTGGGTGCAGGAGGACAAAGTGTGTGGGTCAGAGGGAGGCCCACTCCCTCTCCATGGGAGGAAATCTGGTTTTGTAACCAAAGCATCCTCAGCAATAGGATGGGAGACCACCAGGGAATGGCAAAAGAGCAACAGGGCTGCTGGTGGCCAAGTGCTAAAGCAGAACTTCCTTCCTTCCTTCCTTTTCTTTCTTCCTTTCTCTTTCTTCCTTTCCTTCCTTCCTTCCTCTCTCCCTCCCCTTCTTCCCTGCCTCCCTCTTTTTCATTCCCATCTCCTTCCTTCCCTTACTTTTTTCCGGTTTCCCTCCCCTCCTTCCTTCCCTCCTTCTCTCTGTGCCCAGGAAGGGACGAGGAGAGGGGGAGAGGTTGGCAGCACTTCTCTCAAAGAGTAAGAGTTAGAAGACACCTTTGAGGTCTTTAGTCTAAGCTCCTGCTCAAGCAGGGGACCTATACCATTCCAGACAATGGAATATCCAATTTCTACTAAAAGCCTCCAGTGGTGGAGCATCCACAACTTGTGAAGGCAAGC